CAGCTAGTTGGACAGAGTTGGAATGATGCTAACAGGTGGAAAAGTCAATCTCATACCTCTGTAGATGTTGGCAGACCATCAATTAGCAACAAAACTGTGGAGGATGAAAGAAATCAGAATTTCAGGAGAGAAGGGCCTAGGTTATCCAAAGGAGAGCTGCTGGAAAGAAGTAAGATGGGATTGTGTTTTAAGTGTGGTGAGAACGGGGGAAAAGGGCACATTTGCAAGATGAGAAACTACAAGATGATTTTAGTTGAACAGACTGAAGGTGAGTAAGAGTCAGAAGAAGAAAACCTGGATCCTGAAGAAGATCATCAACCTCTCATGGAGCTAAAAACTATGCAACTTTCAGTGTTGAGTAAAGAGGGCATACCTGCAATGAACACCTTCAAGGTAAAAGGGCAGTTGCAGTGGCCTGGAGGGAAACAAGAAGTCAATATCCTTATAGATTGTGGTGCTACACATAACTTTGCATCTCAGAAGCTGATTGATAAATGGCAGATTCCATATGCTCCAATTATGGGTTATAAGGTGCAAATTGGCAATGGGGATTGCATCTATAACAAGGGCAGATGTGGAGATTTGCAGTTGAAGGTGCAGGGAATAGAAATACAACAAACATACTACATTCTGGATCTGGGTGACACTGATTTGGTGTTAGGGATTGAGTGGTTGACAGGATTAGGAAACATGGAAGTAAATTTTAAGCTCAAAACTCTCAAGTGGAAGTGTAAGGAGCAGGATTATCTCTTAAAAGGAAATTCAGCTCTAAACCAGTTGGAGGTTTCCTTAAAAACAATGGCTCACATACTGCATCAGATGGGTGATGGATACTTATTGTGCCATGAAGGAATATTTACTGGCAGGGAACAGAAGATGGAAAAGGAAGAGGATTGGGAAGAGGTAGTTGCAGATTTCCCAGAAGTTTTTTCTGTACAGCTGTCATTTCCACCTGCTAGGGACTGTGATCATGCTATCAGAATCAAGGAGGGAGCAAGTATACCAAATCTAAGGCCCTACAGGTATACTTTTGATCAAAAGAATGAGATTGAGAAGATAATAGATGAAATGTTGAAAGCTGGAATTATCAGGAATAGTAATAGCCCATATAGCAGCCCTGTTTTATTAGTCAAGAAAAAAGATGGGGGCTGGAGATTCTGTGGGGATTATAGGGCTCTAAACAAAATCACTATTCTTGATAAATTTCCCATACCTGTCATAGAAGAGTTATTGGATGAACTGGGAGGTGCAAAAATATTCTCAAAATTGGATCTGAAGTCAGGCTACCATCAAATAAGAATGAAGAGCTGTGATATTCATAAAACTGCATTCAGAACCCACGCAGGGCACTATGAATATGTGGTCATGCCTTTTGGCCTGACCAATGCCCCTGCAACTTTTCAAGCTCTCATGAATGAAGTTCTGAGACCCTATTTGAGGAAATTTGCATTGGTATTTTTTGATGACATTTTAGTCTATAGTAGGACTAAAAAAGATCATAAGGAACATCTAAAGAAGGTTCTGGAGGCCCTAAAGAGTCATGAACTGGTAGCCAACAGAAAGAAGTGCACTTTTGGTCAGAAATACAATTGAGCTATCTGGGACATATCATCTCAGAAAATGGAGTATCTGCTGATCCCAGCAAGATTGAGGCAATGAAGCAATGGAAAGTACCTCAGAATATCACAAAACTTAGAGGGTTTCTTGGATTGACAGGGTATTATAGGAGATTTGTTAAAGGCTACAGCCACATTGCTGCTCCCTTAACAGTCCTATTAAAGAAGGATGGGTTTAAATGGAGTGAAAAAGCCAACCAAGAATTTGAGGAACTGAAGGCTGCTATGATTTCTGTACCAGTCCTGAGAGTCCCAGACTTTAGAGATATGTTTGTGGTTGAAACTGATGCCTCTGGAAGGGGGTTAGGAGCTGTCCTGATGCAGCAAGGAGGTCCTATAGCCTATATGAGTAAAGAGTTGTCTACCAGACACCTAACCAAATCAATTTATGAAAAAGAGTTGATGGCAATTGTCTTTGCTATTCAGAAATGGAGACCATATCTTTTAGGGAGGAGATTTGAAGTCCATACTGACCAGAAAAGCCTAAAATATCTGACTGAACAAAAGGTGATGGGAGAAGATCAACAAAAATGGATTGCTAAACTGATGGGGTATGACTTTACCATAAAGTACAAGCCTGGGGTTGAAAACAAGGCCGTTGATGCCCTTTCCAGGAAGTCTACTTATGCAGCACTATCTTCTGTGATCTGTCATGAATGGGAAGGGTTATGGGAAGAGTTGGAAAAAGATCCTAAGTGCAGAGAAATAATTCAGAAGATGATGATTCAGCCTGATCAATATTCAGAGTATCAAAGGAAGGGAGGGCTAATATACTACAAAGGTAGACTGGTATTGCCAAAAGGATCTCCTAGAGTACTCACCATTATGAGAGAGTACCATGACTCTGCAATAGGGGGACATTCTGGCTATTTGAGGACGATGAAAAGGATCTCCAGTATGTTCTTTTGGCAAGGAATGAAGACAGATATTAAGGATTTTATTCTGGGATGTGAGGTTTGTCAAAGGAACAAGTTTCAAGCGTTAAAACCTGCAGCCTTTACCAATACCCGAGCAGGTGTGGACGGATATCAGCATGGATTTTATTGGAGGATTGCCAAAATCTCAAGGCAAGGACACTATCTTGGTTGTGGTAGACAGATTGACTAAATTTACACATCTTATCCCTTTGGCACACCCTTTCAATGCCAAGGGAGTAGCTGAAGTGTTTGTGCAAGAAGTGGTGAAGATCCATGGATTTCCCAGATCCATTGTAAGTGACAGAGACAACCTCTTTTTGAGTTCTTTTTGGACTGAATTGTTCAAACTTGTGGGAACCAAGCTCAAGTATAGTACTGCTTATCATCCCCAAAGTGATGGGCAAACTGAAGTGGTAAATAGATGCCTTGAAACTTATTTGAGGTGTCTAACTGGTCAGAAGCCTAAACAATTGGTCAAATGGCTTCCTTGGGCTGAATATTGGTTTAATACTAATTACCATAGTTCTTTGAAGAGCACACCCTTTCAGGCTCTGTTTGGGCACCCACCTCCTCCTATCATCAGAGGAGATGTTAGACTGACTGCAGTGGATGAAGTAGCAAAATTGACAGCTGAGAGGAATGAGATGTTGACTGAATTGAAGGATAATCTTGCCAAAGCACAGAACTTGATGAAACAACAAGCAGATAAACATAGAAGGGAAGAGAAACTAGAAGTGGGTGATCAGGTTTTTCTGAAGATACAGCCCTATAAAATGAGAAGTTTGGCCAAAAAAATCAATCAAAAGCTCAGCCCGAGATTCTATGGTTCTTATGAAATCATTGAAAAGCTAAGCCCTGTAGCTTTCAAACTGAAGCTGCCAGATAGTAGTAGAATACACCCGGTTTTCCACATTTCCCTTTTAAAGAAGGTGCTGAAACCTACTGTCAGTTACCAAGATCTTCCAGATTGCATCACAGAAGGCTGTGAGCTGCAAGTTATACCTGAGGCAGTAAGGGATATCAGGATCAATCAGGAAGGGAGGAAAGAAGTCTTAGCACATTGGAAGCAGCTCCCAGACTTTGAAGATTCATGGGAAGATATGCAGATGCTTCAAGATCAATTTCTTGATGTCCAACTTGGGGACAAGTTGATGGTTCAAGGGGGGGGGGGGGGTATTGATAGGAACCCAGTTAGTTCCTTGGATAAGACTAAATACTATGGGCGGGTTTATACTAGAAGGCCGAAGTAGTCTTAAGAGTTTTGGTTATTGGTTGTTTTACTAATAATGACTTCCTTATGTAGAAGGGTATAAATAGTAAGTCCCTACAGAAGGAAAGCAGGCTGTAATACACTTTTTCTGGGACTGGGAAGTTGGAGTTGTATCTCCTTCTTTTGGGACTGTGTATACGGTTTACTGGTTCAATAAGATTTCTTCACCTTGCTTGATTCTCTAATCTGTTTTGATGCTTGAATAGAATCTTGATTGTTTGATAGTTGTGTTGTGAACTTCCGGAATTACTAGAGGTTTCTATCAGGAAGTCAGTTAAAAAATTATTGTAAATTGCGCAACTTTATATATATATAAATTGCAGTTTGTTTCAATAATTTATTTTACTGACTTCCCGGTTGAATGTTAAGCTAAAATTTGATGGACATAATCTATACTTCATGGAGAACATGCTCACAAAATTTCATCAAAAAATTCGACCCGGAAGCACCTAAAATGAAAGAGGCCTAAAGTTGTACCTTTTAGGCATACCTTACATGATCATTGTCCTAATATATAAATATATGTGTGTGTGTGTATATATATATATTTATATATAGCTATAGTATTTGACGAGAGACAAGAGAATGGAAAAAGTCAAAGTAAAATAAAGTAATTCTACGTACAAAATTATGATTTAGATTTCAAGAGATAGAAGAAAAAAAGAGAGAAAAGGAAATGAGGGGTGAAGGGGGAGGTGATGCAGGTTGGGCATGGGCGATGGATATCTGGAATGGGAAAGAAGCCAGAAACGCAAAAAGAAGAAAGAAAAAAGGGTAGAAAGAAAGAAAGAGAAAAAAGGAAAAGAAAAGAAAACGTATAAAAATTGTAAACGATAAAAAAATCCAATTGGACGATCCACGTATGATTACCTATGAAATAGCTGATTTGGTTGTTTTTTGACAGTTCATAGACTGGATTGATTCATTTAAACGTATGTGGACTCAATTGACTTTTTGGTAAAAGTACATGGACCTATTTGACAGTTTTCTCTTGTTTCTTAATAAAAACCTCACCTTTGTCTTAGAGAAGGTCTCATTCCTGGTATCCAAGCAAGGGCTTATGGGCTATGACCTGAGCCCATTTGTCAAACACTACCTAAGTTATTTATTGCATCATGTTACTATATTAGTTCATATCCTTCAGCCTCATGTGTCTCTGAATTATGAAGATGTTCTTGTACTATTACTCACTTGTAGATACACGATGGAACGACCTCGGTTCAGTGACCATTTGGAAGCTATCAAGTTCATCTGCAAGGACTTCTGGTCTGAGCTCTTTAAGAAACAGATAGACAACCTAAAGACAAACCATAGGGTGAGTTTGAAAATCACTTAAACCTGTTCTATAGGGCCCGTTTGGTAAGTTTTATTTGGCTGAATCAGCTTAAACCTGCTGTTAGGGAAGTATTTACATCCATTTAAGACAAATAAGTAAGTGAAAAGATACTTATTCTGTTGATAAGCTGAATAAGACTACACAAACAGAGTATTAAGCTGTTTTGAGCTAAACCTTGGTTGTCCGTTATCTTTCCCAGGGTACCTTTGTGTTGCAAGACAATAGGTTTCGTTGGCTGTCTCGGATGCCTATGGATCCATCACTTGAAACCTCTGGATCTATTCAAGATCCATCTGCCATGGCTGAGAACAAAACTGCACAAGCAATAGGAATGCACCTTTATTTTCCTTGTGGAATCATCAGGGGAGCACTTTCAAACCTTGGAATTCCATGTGCAGTATCTGCTGATATATCTAACCTGCCTGCGTGTAAGTCATATCTTCTATTGCTTAGTTTTTAGTATCTCATGTTTATCCTTGAATGAAGTAACATTCAAAATGTTGCTTATTTTTAATTTTGGCACGATACATCTCTTAAAAGTTATGGAATACTTTCTCCGTTCTTAAATAAGTGCAACAGTCAACATTTCACACTTGCCGAGGCACAACTTTGACCATTAATATATATAATTCTCTATTACAAAAAATTTAAAAAAATCAGATATTGAAAATTTAGAACGAGACAAATTTAATAATATTTTTTTCAAAAAAATATATTAATACATCTATAAATAAAATTTAGTCAAAGTAGAACACGTGAATAGTACAAAAATTGGCATGTTGCAATTATTTAAGAACGAAGGTAGTATACCCAACTTTTTTTTTGTGATTTAACTACATTTGTTTATGAAATTATGATATTAAGTTATTTGTAAGTTTTATTGTCAATTTCATGAACAAAGTTCGCTATGTTTTACGTAGTACTCCCTCCGTCCCTCTAAGATTGCCTCATCTTCCTTTTTCGGTCCGTCCCACCAAGATTTCTCATACCAAATTTGGTAAAGTCTGTGTAATTCTAAATCATTCTTACTTTATCCATTCAATATCAACCGCATATAATGCGTGATATGCAAATATCACGTTCACCTTCGCATGGCAACTTGCCGATTACATGGGATTGCATATTATTACACCATTTACTTTATTTGCTTTCCATGTTTATTTTTATTCCTTATTCTTAGTCGTATGTCTATGTATAAAAATTAGAGATTATTTGATTCAATGACAAGACACTTACGACATATTCTCTTCTTCCTCAAACCATGTCATTACTATTCGTATCTATTTTATCATGGTATCAGAGCCGAAATCCTGGTCAATTTCTTTTCTAGCCAAACAGACTGCCATACTCAAATAACCCCACGAGATGGCCATTGGTGATAAGGATAGCGGTCATGGTGATACAATAACCATTGATTGCATGTCTCCTTATTACATACAATCCGGTGATAAACCCGGAGACATTTTTCTCACCCTCACTATTACGTGACGACAACTATGGAGATTGGCTCGATGAAATGACCAATGCTCTATATGCCAAAAATAAATTTGGGTTCGTGAACGGCGATATTCCTATACTGGAAAAGGAATCCCCTGACCTACCATATTGGCAACGGGCCAATGCCATGGTGAAGGCATGGCTTAACAGTAGCATGGAACTTGAATTACGACAAAGCGTTAAATTCAAGACCGCTCGAGAAATATGGACCGATCTTGAAGAACACTTTGGGAAGGAAAGTGCTCCCCGAGCATATGAACTAAGATGTTTTCTTGGGGCTGTCCGGCAGGATGGACAGTCCGTTTCGGCGTATTTTAGCCGACTTCGGCGTATATGGGACGAGATGGCTTCAATAGCTAAAGCACCTAGTTGTAATTGCGGAAAGTGCACGTGTGACATCACGAAACAAATCAACGCTGCAAGGGATCGAGATCATCTTTATGATTTTCTAATGGGATTGGATGATTATTATGGTCACCTCAAAAGTCAAATTTTGGCCACCGCCTACCATTTAATTTCCGAGAGAGAACATCACATAACTATCGCTACAACAAGAAAAACGGGGATGGAAAGTGCAGCAGCGTTCCAAACGCATCTCAAGATAAGCAGTGATAAGAAACCTGGAAAGGATAATGGGAATTACTGTACCCATTATGGCAGAACTAACCACAATTATGACACCTGCTTTGAAATAGTGGGGTACCCACCCAATTGGAATATACGTAAGCAGAATGGTGGACGGCCTAGAGAGCACCGCATGACAACTCGACCTGCAGGGAGTGATGATCGCAACAGGAGAGGTCCACCCAAGGTAGCCCACGTCGACACACACTCTACCAATTTGCCTCGTATGTCCGACGATGAGCCAAAGTGCCTGACGCAATTCATAGGCCATGAAATTGAGAGCCAGGGACCCACACCACCGGAATCTTCTAATGTGAAAATAAATATGGCAGGTATAGGTCAAACCCAATGGATCATCGATTCCGGGGCCTCCGAGCATATTACGTGCAACAAGGCTCTTTAACCAACGTCATGGCTAATCCATCCTAGTCTCCTGTTCGGATTCCAAACGGTGATCTTGTGAATGTTCATTCCATTGGGAGCCTAAATTTGCCTAATGGATTGAGTTTGTCATGTGTTTTATTCGTGCCACATTTTCAGTGTAACTTATTATCTGTCAGCCGACTTACTCGAGAACATAATGGTACATTGGCATTTTTTAGGGATTTTTGTGTGATACAGGATTCACTCTCGAGGAGGTTGATTGGGCTGGGTAGGTATCACAGTGGTCTATATTATTTGGAAACTTTCAACAGTGAGCGGGTGGCGATGATGGTTTATTCACAATTCGAAGTTTGGCATCGACGTTTAGGGCATGCTTCTAATGATAAGCTCCGTCATATTAATATTTTACAAGGTTTTAATAGGGATGTTTCTTTTTGTGATTTTTGTGTACGGGCAAAACAGACTCGTCTCCCTTTTCCTAACAGTACTATTAAAACGCAAAATAGTTTTGATCTGATTCATTGTGATATTTGGGGGGATACAGTGCTTCTCTCATAGGTGCTCATTATTTTCTCTCCATTGTTGATGATTTTACACGAAGTGTGTGGGTTTACCTTCTGAATGCAAACTCCGATATGGGCCAATTTTTAATACATTTTTGTAACATGATTCGAACCCAATTTGGTCATCTGGTTTAACGGATACGCACAGACAACGGAGGAGAGTTTCAATCTCACATTTTGCTTGATTATTATAACAAAAATGTTATCTGTTTAGAAACCTCTTGCACAGATACTCCATAGCAAAATGAGGTCGTTGAACGAAAGCATCGACACATTTTGGAGGTTGCCAGAGCCTTGAGGTTCCAAGCTGGTTTACGCATAGAATTCTGGGGGAATGTATCCTTACGATTGTTTTTATTATAAACGGACTTCCTGCACCAGTCATTTCGTATAAATGCCCATTTGAAAAGCTTTTTGGGAAGTCACCTGATTATCATCATCTCCGTGTTTTTGGATTTCTCGTTTATGCACATGACAAAGAAGGACAAATTTAGCGAGAGGGGGAGTCCATGCATTTTTTTGGGATATCCTAACGGGCAAAAGGCCTATAAAGTTTTTAATCTTGAGACAAAAGGTTTATAGTTCCAGAGATGTAACCTTTTTTGAAGATGTTTTCCTTTCAAGTCTACTCAATTTATGGCTGATCAATCTTTTAACGATGCCATTCGCTTGGCTTTAGCACACATCTTGGAGGCACATGTACCCCAACAGCATACTAATTTAATGAGGCCTGCCATACGTGGCCATGCTTCTCCCAAACAGCCCACATCATTACATAATGATGACCAACAAATTGAGCCCTCTTCTGGAGTTGATCATCCAGAATCAGCCGAGCCCGTACATGAAACGCCACATGAAGACCAACAGGCCCCGGACTCTCAAAAAAGTGGACGTATTCGACGTCCACCTGCACACCCGGAGCATTTTGATGTTGACTTGCCACCCTCACTCCACCACTCGACACTCCCTTCCAATACGGCCAACTCGACGGTACATTCTCTCACATATTTTCTTTCTTATAATAAGTTTTCACCAACTCATCGTGCTTTTTTGGCGGCCATCACCTCACATGATGAGCCTAAATATTTTTCTCAAGCCACCTGTGGAGAACAGCTATGCAGAAAGAAATTCAAGCCTTGGAAGCAAATGGGACATGGACATTAGCTTCATTACCTCCGGGAAAGAAGCTCATCGAGTCCAAATGGGTTTTTATAAAATCAAATATAAACTCAATGGTGATGTCGAACAGTACAAAGCACGGCTAGTTGTAAAAGGATTTACACAAATTGAGAGCATTGATTTCCATGAGACTTTTGCTCCTGTCGCAAAGCTTGTTACTGTTAGATGCCTTTTGGCCGTTGCTGCTAAACGTTAATGGGTGGTACACCAACTTGATGTAAATAATGCCTTCTTGCATGGAGACCTACATGAAGATGTGTACATGCGCATTTCGCAAGGCTTTGCTAAGCAAGGTGAGACTCAGGTATGCAAGATTCACAAATCACTGTACGGTCTTCACCAAGCATCACGTAAATGGTATGAAAAATTCACTAGTGTTCTCTCCGCGATTGGTTTTCGGCAGTCTCGTGCTGATCACTCGCTTTTTATCTACCGCCGAGGGAGTACTTATACCGCCGCGTTAATATATGTGGATGATGTCTTACTGGCTGACAATGACCTTACCCACATATCTCAAGTCAAACACTATTTGCATGAACAGTTCACCATGAAGGACCTCAGCACACTCAAATATTTTCTTGGGATAAAAGTTGCATGTTCTTCTGCCGGGATCGTTCTCACCAACGGAAATACACTTTGGATATATTACGAGAAAGCGGCATGCTCGACAGTCGTCCAAGTCCCACTCCCATGGAATAAAACCTCAAGTTACGACCGGATGACGACAGTGCTCTTATTGATGCTGCAATGTATCGGCGGCTAATAGGCCGATTATTATATCTCACCGTCACACGACCTGATATTGTCTTTCCTGTCAATCAACTCAGTCACTTCCTTTCCCAACTGAGGCAGTGACACCTTGTTGCGGCTCATCGAGTACTTTGATATCTCAAAGCCACTCCAGGAATGGGTATTTTCCTCTCATCCAGTTCAGATGTTTCATTAGCTGGCTTCTGTGACGCTGATTGGGCCAGTTGCTCCGTCACTCGGGGATCCAGTTCGGGTTATTTTATCACTTTAGGCGGCTCACCCATTTCTTGGCGCACAAAAAAACAAACGGTGGTGTCTCGTTCCTCAGCCGAGGCAGAGTATCGCGTTATGGCAGTCGCTGTTAGTGAAATAATTTGGCTACGATGGTTATTGCGTGATTTTGGAATATTTTCCACCACACCCATGCCATT